ATTCTAACAGAGCAATGTAATCTTGTGATAACACTGGATGTGTCTTGGAAGTGTCTGGCCTGTGTTTTCCTATTAAATTCAGTCTTAAAAATTATAATTATCATCTGGATGGGGAGTCTAAGCCATGCCAATCTACTTCTGGACCATGGGTTCCAGGAAGAACGAAAAAATGAAAGCAAGTCAATGGGGCTAAAAAACGCTATTTTCTAACGCCACTTGTTATGATCCATGGATTTCACATATGATGTCCGTGATCTTTAAAGACACATTTTGATACCAAGAACACACTTATTTTTGAACGGGGGTAAACGTTATTTTAGGTTTTGTGTGAAAATAAGTCCAGGACAACAAATGCGCTTCACGAAAGTGACGTAACTGAACCAGACACGGAGAAAAACAGAAGGAAAATGGCTGTAAGTTCAGCTAACTTAAAATCCTTCCTTCAGGAGGAAAGAACCACCATAAATCTGGCCATCTGGTAAGTAGCAGCTATGCTAGGGGAGAGGAGATTCTGTGGCGACGTCACATATGCGACGTGCTGATGTTTGATTTGTAGTCATGCTAATTTTGAACTTTTACAAGCTGATAAATCTCCAAGTACGTGACTGGCGTGGTTGAAACATATGTGACACATATGTGTGATCCAGGGCGTAAGGCACCGCGGATAAGAAAATAGCTCTTTTAGCCCCGTTGACTTGCATTAAATTTTCCGTTTTTCCGGGGACTCATGAGCCAACCGGAAAGAGAGGCGATTTAGGCTCCCCATTTTAGTATCATATTATGTCGTATCACCAGATTCTGGCTAATACACACCCTATACACAATTATAATATAGTTTCCTTTTTCCGACTATTGCCCAGATGTAATCTAAGTAATTACATGGTTACTGTTTAGGTCTAGTTTGTATTGTGCATTGATGTTATTCAAAAGTATTAACCAATTTGGGTTAGAGACCTGTTTAAATTTGCCAGAGTACATACACACAAAGGCCTGAAAACAAGCCTTACGCACACTCACACACACACACACACACACACACAGACTAATAATTTCTTAAAGTGCTGTGGTGGCCCTCTGTGGTCAGTCACAGATGTTAATTACCGCTAGCATGTTGTTTGTTATGCAGTAGCAGGTCCCGACCACCCCGCTGCTAACCCTGCCTTCCTTCAGACCTCACCAATTACTCTAATCAGAGTCAAGATGTGGCTCACTTCTCTGTAAAAATTAAGTAATTAAGACCAACATGGCTGGTCATTTAGAACGGTGCAATTTACTCTGCCAAAAACTTCGGTCTTTAATGAGGACGTTTCTGGGTAATTGAGAAACCAACCACCACTGAGAACAGACCCAGCACCTTTAATCCTAATTTGTGACGGTAGCGACAACCATAGAACCCCTCCCTGAGTTTTCACTAATGTACATGTGTGCTACGCTTCCACTGATGGCAAGGTTCGAGCGTTAAAGCAGAAAAGAAGGCAATGAAAGGAGACTCAAGTGGCATGTTTTACATTTAAGAAAGACACTACTCCAAAACAAGAAAATAAACCAGAGTTATATTATGGAGAAGACCTTTGGCACTGGATGTGCTGCTTGCTGCACCCCCCGACCTCTTTCATTTAATGTAACAGGAAAGAAAAGGTGACACCAGCAGTGGCTTCGGGCTCTAATCATCACGTCTTTGTCAGGAATAAAACTGGAGACTTTGACATGCTCTCCTCTCTGTGGTCTTTGGAGCTCCACTCTGGATGTGAATGAGGAGATCAAAGGTGCAAAAAAATGTGACTGATCAAGCGTGGAATCGGTCTCATCACCAGCGAGTGTAATCACACTGCCGACACGAGACGAGGGGAGCACTACAGCTCAACAAAATGTGTGTGTGTGTGCTTATTTCATAGGACACACTCTTGAATGTATGAGTGTCTTTGTTAGTTTTACTTTTTTGCATTTCAGACCACAAAAAATAAATTAAAACGTTTTTCTATGACCACATGAGCATAGTGTGTTGTGTTTAATTTAGCTACACCCAAACACACTCGCACCTGCCTGGAGCTCAAAGAGACGATGTGGAAAGGAGAGGAAGAGGAGAAAATGTTTTACCGATTACATTTTGGAAAGAGAAATGGACAAAATATAATATTTGTATTTATTAATGATCTTTTTTGTTGCACTAGCTCTTGCAGCATTTGTTTAGTTATTTATTATTATTGTTATTATTGTTAGTGTTGTCACAGAACGAGCAGTGGTTGGTGCTCCAGTAGGCGTCAAATCAAGAACTCTATCTTTTTGTCTTTGGTGCCCATATCTGATGTTTTCAGCAAGAGGAATAATTAGCTATCTTGTTTTAAAAAAACTATATTATCTCGGTGGATTACCGTGGCTGCGGTGTTGGCGTGGTGACCCTTACCAGCCACCGTATCATCTGCTGAAGTTGCCGGCGGCACATGCGCACTTTGTTGTTTACAACCAAAACTTTCTTGAAGCTAAAGCTGAAATAATGGCCAAAGGAGGAGACGGCAGCACTCAGGACATTTATTATCCCGCAAAGAAGACAAAGTGGGAAGTACGGGCGTTTTTTGGATATTTATGTTTATGTTTATGTTTATGTGCTTAGCAGACGCTTTTACCCAAAGCGACTTACAAATTTTTTTTTTTTTGAAGAATGCTGAGGGACAGCTGATAGAAGACGACTATCCTGTTTGCAGCACGTGCAGAAAAAGTGTCTGTGAAAGGCAGCAACGCTTCAAATCTCATGACACATCTGCGTGACCATCACCCACAACTCTACAGTCAACACAAGGCAAGCTAACGTTAGCGTTTTAGCTAAAATGCGTGATCCGAGGATTTGGGTTGAGGGAGAATGCAACGAGTCGCTATATAAAGCAGCCGCAGCGCCGCTACCTGCATATAAACCGTGTCGCGGACACCGCCATGTTGAAATGACGCTATGCATTACGGGGCTCCCAGGGGCAGATAAGAGTTGGTCTCTCTCCGAGAATAATTATGAATTTAACAATGATTACTGCCTGATGACATTTTCCCACATCTGCAAAGCTCACTGGAAGGACACAAACCGAGGACAATATTTTCCTGATATAGGGTTTATTACTCAAGTAAGGGTAAAAAAGTATCTGATTAGAAGGCTACTTGAGTACTGAGTATCATCTGATCTAATATTTTTAAATGATGACATCAAACAGACAAAATAAGAAGTTATGGGCAAATATTAGTATTTTAAAGACTAAAGGGGAAAAAATGTAAACAAATAAACAACATAATTACAAAATAACACATTGTAGGCAATTTTTAGACACAAACTGAGGACAATATTTTCCTGACATACAGGGTTTATTTAGTTTCCTGAAAATTTAACATGTTTAAAAAAATACCGCGATATACCGAAAACCGTGATAATTTTGGTCACAATAACCGTGAGGTTACATTTTCACACCGTGACAACCCTACACCGAACATTGATGGGGAGCTGGAGGCGCACTCTACCTGAGAAAACCACTAAAACAGACTCCTGTCTATCATCTTTATAAACCTGATGTTTACATACATCGTTATTTTTCTACATTTCCTGCAGTGGAAAAGTGTGGAGCAAGACCTGAAACCAGTGTATTACTGGGCTGTAACTAATGGTGACTAATTAGACACAAGAACACAACATTTTCACTTGGAATCGCACTAGAATGATACTTAGAGACGTAGACCAAGGAAATAAAGGCTTTTTTCCACAGTCTGGAACATGAAGCAACTAAAATGTGAACATAAACGGCATCAAAAACGATTCTTTCGAAAAATCCAACAAAAGTGGAGATTTGAAAATCCTCTAATGTCAGCATTTGCTTGTGGGTGAAAATAATCGGGGTTTAACGATTTTGCAACACCACTACCTGAGCCCTGTGCTTGCACCTATTTTTGCTAACCCAAATGCTCTACGTAAAAGACTACAGGCAAAAGACGGAGTTACTGACCACCACCTGTTTGTGAAAGAATTGTTTTTCAGCAAAGATTTGGAGAACTACCGCCACCTACAGGTTTGGCATGAATGTGCATCCCAATGCATGGCATGTTTTTGGGTGAAAACGAGGTGGCGTGGAGCCAAGATTTCCTTCTAGATGAATGTGGGAGATGGATCGGTTTTACGTCTAGGTGGCTACATGAACTTTCATATACGACCAGGTGTTGTTGGGAACATGAAGCAACTAAAATGATTGTTTTATTGTTATAAATTTGACAAAAAGTCTGAAATTTTATCCAAAACTGGCAAAAACTAGAATAAAAATGACTGAAAAATAAAAACTACACATTACCTACAATTAGGAGTCAGTGGTGGTAATTTAGTAACATTTTATAAATATTTCAATGTATTCAAAAAAGCTGTTAATAGGTAGCACCTCCATGTGTTCTGATTAATTTCCTTTAGTGGGACGTTATAAAAATGTCCTTCATTCTCTTTCTGAGAAACCCCGACACTGAGTCTAAATGCTTTTAAAGCACAAACCAAAGCAAGATTACACCTTCCTTTGATAGAATACTAATACAAACAAAACTAATCAATGCTCACATCTTTCAGAATTTCATGCTAACGCAGAAAAACTCCCTGCAAACCTAAAGGGTCACGACTAAAACCTGAGAGCTGATTCTTCTGATTACTTCTCTGTCCACGTCCAACCTCTTGACCCAATAAGTGGAAACAACCAGCTCTGTTTGTCCAACAATTGCGCAAACTCTCCACTTTATCTTTTTGTTTGTTTGTTTGTTTGTTTTGATTCCACCAGAATCTCCATTTGGTGTCTTATTTACTGAAGAAAATGCAAACTTTAGCAAGGGAGAGTGACAGAGAGGGAGGTTAGGGAGGACAATGCTAGCTTGTCTGAACCTTTCCTGATGTCTCGACGTCAGAGACGGGACACTGGTGCAGGGTCGCTGATGGGCTAAAAGGACAAGATATAGAAACATACGGAGAGGACGTAGGGCTGTCTGTCAACGCCTACCTGCTCTACCCAGACGCCAGATGCTTCCTCAGGAGCCCAGATGATCATGGTTTTGTCCATGGAAGCCGAGAGCAGGCAGAGAGGCTGTTGCAGCTCACCGCCTGCAGGGGGAGACAAACAGACACTCAGAAATTATAATCTTGGGGATCTAATCAGATGTTTGGTCGACTCTGTGTAGCACAAAATTAATTTGTATTTTATTCATCTGGTTTCTAATGTGATATAGATTTATAGCACTTTTTCTATAAATTCTCATCTGGTTAATGAAATACCAGTTAAACATTAATAAATAAACGAAAAAGAATAAATTTAAACAGATTTTTGTACTTTGCTTAGCAAGAAGTGGATTCCCAGCACTGCTATTTTTAATTTAGACATTTTAGTTAAATACATACTACTTAACATAGAAAATGTAATCCGATACATCTGAACACTAATGCAGATGAAATTAAAAAAGTTATCTTGATCTAAGAATCTTTTCCTCAATTAAACTCAAATAGATGTAATTATTACTAATTTCTGTGGAAATAAACATGAACACAGTGCATTTGTTGAATCTGACGAGCCTCGCCCACAGACGCTCTCATTCTTTATAACCAAACACCAGAAAATTGTTTATAATTAAAGGGTTTGTTAAAAATAAATAAAAGTAGTGTTAGTTCATATTTCCAAAACAGCACAAAACATCTTCTGTTTTAGGCGGAAACTTCTCTCATAAAGACGCTGCTGAGAGAAAAGCAAACCCACCGTTAGGAGACAACCTTTTCTTTCATTAAAACAAACCCCGATGTTATGCAATGATCACTTCTTTGTTTTGTTTTGCTTTCATTTTAAAATACACTACTTGACTTATTTCTAGAAACATGTTCTGTCTTGACCAGGTTAGATTTCCAGAAGTTCCTGAACTCACAGGAACAACTGAAAATCCCAAACTGAAGGTAAAGTTACCACAATGAGACACTGATTCTGCATCACAGCCAAAGCTATGCTAGTTACCAAAAAAGTAACTAGTTGGTTACTTGTTACCCTATTCAAAAAGTTACTCAGTTACTTTGTTAATTACTTACACCAAAAAGTAATGGATTACTGTTAAATTTACTATTTAGTTACTTTTTTAACGAACATATTTAAAAAAATACTCCCATTAAAGCTTCAGTCCTGAGTTCTTTGTCAGAGGGCACCCTCTAGAGGCAGAAAAATGTATCTCACTTTAAGCCCCTCCCTACTTTCGTGATTACGACTGTAAGCAGGGATCGAATTACGGGGGCTCTTTGGAATACAATGGTTTAGAATCGATCCCTGCCTTCAAACTAGCTAGGTAAATCTCATGTAGCATGGGTGTAACGCTAGCTGTCGCCATCTTGTTTCTGCCGGTCTGTCCCCTAAAATGTCCAGGTGGTACAGGCAGCTAGTAATGAACAAATGCGCTCTTAGTTAACGATAACCGAGTTACCTTATTTATAAAGTAACAATAGTTACTGGTCAAAGTAATGGCGTGACAGTAAAATATTTCTATTAATGCATTACTATCCAACACTGATGATCACAGATCAGGACACATTATTTGTTCTTTTAGGTAAAAGTACCTTTGTAAACAGGAGGATGCCAGTGGACTCCATAGACCCAGTTCTCATGACCGGCCAGAACCGTTTCCAGAGATGCAGCAAATACTGAGGTTAATCCTGCAGCAGGAAAACACCAAAAACATCTCCAATGTACAGACTTTGGTTTTTTCAAATAAACAACATGCTTGTAGAACAACAGGAGTTCATAAATATCCAAAACTCATTTTTAAGACTAAAATAACAGGTTTTATAGTATTATTGTAATGTCTGCTGTAGGACACCTCCCCCCTCAAAAATCTAGCCCCTCTTCTTGCTTAATTAACACTTTCTTTTGTAATCAGTCCCGACCGGCCCGCTCACCTCTATCCTTCACTTCAAAAACGTCCTCTTTCATTTTGATGATGGTGTGATCATCTTCTGCGTGGGTGTCTGTGCCAGATTTGGCACACAGCCTCCACACTCTGATGAGCGAGTCCTGCGAACAGCTGGCTAATAACAGCTCGGCCCCTGAATCCGTAGGAGAAAACCCAAAATCCTTCACTCAGAGGCATTCTTATTAAAAACGGCGTTCACATCAGCACTCAGTACTGTGTTGTGATATTTTTATACAAGTGTATTAACATTGTTCTTTTATTTTATTAAAAGACTTACCACATATAATAATTCCCAACAATTCTTATCTATTACAAAAGGACCAACAAAAGGCAGCTGGGCTGCATTTGGTGGAATTTTAAACGAGGTAAAAACTAATGTCCTCTCTAAACAATCGTCGAGTCATCGTCGGAGTCTGGAGCCTGTCTCAGTTTAGATTCTGAGTCAGAAATGTGAGGAAAAAACTTGGAAAGGGCTGGTAACTAAACTGGAAACTAAAGAAAAACAAGCAAGACATAACTTAGCTGTAACCAAAGGATATGCATATTGTTGCACAAACGTCATAAATAGTTCTCATCAAATATATCGTAAATTAGAGGTATCTGCCGCCTGATATATCGTCCGATATTCACCATATGTTTTATTAAGTAGCATCAGCCGATATACCTCCTTAGTAAAAGTGATTTAAAGTCAGGCACATCTGCGGGCAGCCTGGTGCTGCAGCAGAACAAAATGTAATTGTATGATTATATTCCTGAATAACATCTGCATAATAAATGCTCTAAAAATTATTTTCAACTAAAATTTATTTTTATTTACCCGTTTTGAATATTTAATGCTCGGTCAGTTCATTTATTAGTTTAACTTTAGTTAGATGTCTGATTTTAACACCGAGCAGAGCAAAAAACTAAGGTTTAACTATTCAGTTCAAAAACAAATTTGGTTTCAGACACTTTGTGCATTAGCTGATAGCTTTAGTGACACTTAGCACGCAAATAAGGTGGAAAAAAGACTTCAGCCATAAAAATAGGCCCAAAAAATCTGCAGCACATATCGGCGTCAGAAAAAATATTCAAACGATATCGGCCGACCTCTATAGTTTTAAAATTTAAAATCATTATGGTGCAAAGTAAACATTTTATATTTTTTTTGAATTTGTGTATTAATCTAAAAAAGGAAAACAGCTGTGGGCAAATTCAGCACTCGTAATAAACTAGAACCAGGCTTTGGCTTGAGTTCCTCTGACACCTGTAGGTATGACTCGGTGCCAGAAGAACTTTTATCATGGTAATAGTTGATTACTAGTAACTTTATCAGCAGCAACACTGAAACCAAGTAGGACACTGAGCAACTTATCTGACTGGCTTCCACGTGGAAAAAATTATATCAACAAATAGATCATAAAAGAATCCACAAGGCTTTACTTCCTTAACTGCTGAAGCAATGCTTCGTGGGAGTTTTAAGCTCCTACTTTTCTAGCTTTGTATTCTCTAGAGGCGCTGCGATGCTAATGCTAAACACACCACAGCATGCATAGAATAGAATACTGTATTGATCCCACAGTGGGGAAATTCGCTTCTTACAGCAGCACCAAAGCTTAAGAGAATCATCTGAAGACAAACAATAACAAAGGTACGTGTATATACATATGTACATATAGACCGTAAGCTAGAATTGTAACCTTCAACCACTAAAAACCACGAATAAAAACAAATAAAAACGTGGGTTTGCAGCATACTGCTAAATATCCGGTATTGAACGAGTATTGAATACAAACGGAATATTGCATTGATGTTATTGCGTAACAGGATAATGCCAGAGTTATACACTGTTACTGCGGAGGGGATGGAAGACCTGCGGTAGCGTTCTGTTTTACATCTGGGATAGGTTGGTTTCTGTCGTTTTACTCTGTTTATGTTTATGTGCTTAGCAGACGCTTTTATCCAAAGCGACTTACAATTATCTTTTAACCTATAGGGCATGTTGTGATCTGTGGGGGAAACCGGAGTACCCGGAGGAAACCCACGCATGCATGGGGAGAACACGCAACTCCACACAGAAAGGCCACAGCCGAGTTTCGAACCTGCGACCTTCGTGTTGCGAGGCAACAGTGCTAACCATTGCGCCACCATGCTAGCCTGGCAAGCCAGACTAAATAAATGTATTATTTAGTCTGGCCACGCTCCATTGACGGCTCTCGGTTGTGGGGCGGGTTCTACCGTTGTCTTTCAAATGATCTCCGCATTCCACTGGACAATGAATGTGACATACTCTTGTTTCACTCTGTTGCATCATCCCACCCACCAGGCATATAGAGTGCCCTGATTGGCCCACAAAGCGGATAAAGCTCTGTGATTTGTTCACTAAGCAGATAGAGCACTATGATTGGCCCACCATTATGGACCAATCACAGCTCTTTACGTGTTTGAAACCCCTCTAGAGAGCTGTGATTGGCCAGCCAGAGCCCTGGTAGGAGCTGTGGAGGTTCCAATGGAGCATGCCTAGACCAAACTTTGCAAAGCAAGAATTTGGTCTAGTTCACTAGGCTACCACCATGCGACTCTGTAATAATTCCTCATCTAACTCTGTTTAGTTGGGATTTCTGCTCCAGGAGAAACATTACATTGTTTCTGCAGCGTCCCATGATGCTGGGCGTCCCAGTAGGAACACACCGGTGACCTGACCTGGACTTTCAGAGAGACTGTCTTAATAAAAATGTCCTTAAACACTCTGTAAAGTTATTCCAAATGTTTTAGATGAAAATTATGTTAAAAAATAACTTAAGAGAAGATAAAATAAGTGATTTACAGAATAGAATATGCATTTTAAATTACACCACTGCCTTTGATAAATGATTATAAAAGAATGCTTGCTAAATATTTTACAATATTCACTTCTGCTGTCTGTCGCTTCCATCAGAGGAGAGAGATGGAACATCCTTGTTGTCATTTTAACCCAATATCAGTAGCATGAGACACAACGCTGCTTCAGCTAACTATTTTTATTAAATTAATGTTTTCCATGAAAACACATTATTTTAATAAGATCTGCCATGTCCGAGTTTTCCAAAGGTTCAATCCTCCTCTGTGCTCATTAGTCGTAAGACTTCCTTAAAAATATTCCTGCAGCGATCCAACTCAAAGTCACAGACTGGAGGACAAGAGAGAGGAGACTCAGCGCAGATAAACAAGATGAGCCTTAAGGAGATTAGCGTTCATCCGAAACCAGACGTGATCTTCATTTGATTGTTCCAGTCAGACAAAAAAAGAGCTCCATATAACCTTCAGATCCTGCCTTAGCATAAGTGATGGTTAACAGCAAATGTGGCCATGATGATGAACCTGCTATGTTCACCAAACACAACCATAGAAAATGAAAGTTCAAGCAAAGAACTGCCCTCTAGAGGTGGGTTGCAGGTAAAATAATTATTATTAAGGAAATGAATAAACAAACAGCTTCAACTAAACATTGCTTTAGGGTAAGTATAACCAGCAGGGCCCTGCAGGGAATCAGTACAGTTACCGGAGCCATTTGCCTTTTATTTGTTTATTTAACCTTTTAGCTGGCTACAAAGGTTTGAGGTTCAGTCGGGCAGAAACTTTAATGATGACGATAAGTAAGCTGAGCAGATCCATCAGGACTTTAGGATCATGGGTGGGGAGCATCCAGAGAAAACCCTGCATGCAGCACAAGATGACCCGTTTCCTGTGACATCACCTTTGTGCTGCAGTTTCTTTTTTCATTGGTCCCTGATGGTGGAAGGATGGACTTCCTGGACTCAGGACCACCGCCTAACGCCGTGCTGACATCCCTCCCTTCATCAGGCACACCTGACTTCTACACCAACCACATTCAGGCAGTAAGTCGGGCTCGTTCCCAGTGAGAGTTGGACTCCACCAAGGCTGCCCTTGATCACCGATTCTGTTCATAACCTTTATGGACAGGATTTCTAGGAGCAGCCAAGGTGTGGAGGGGATCTATTTTGGTGGCCTGAGGATCGGGTCTCTGCTTTCTGCAGATGATGTGGTCCTGTTGGCTTCATCAGAATGTGATCTCCGGCTTTCGCTGGAGCGGTTCGCAGCTGAATGTGAAGCAGCTGGGAGGAGGTCCTGCCCCAAGTGGAGGAGTTTGGGTATCTCAGGGTCTTGTTCACGAGTGAGGGAAAGATGGAGTGTGAGATCGATAGGTGGATTGGTGCTGCATCTGCAGGGATGCGGGTGTTGTACCGGTCTGTCGTGGTGAAGAGAGAGCTGAGTCAGAAGCTCTCTATTTTCCGGTCGATCTACGTTCCTACCCTCATGTCCTTGTCCCCCCCACCCCCCCCCTCCTTTTTTTTTCTTCTTGGCACTCGAGGAGTACAGACGCTTCTCTTTCGCTCCCTTATCTTTTTTTCCCCAAGGCTCTTTGTCCTGTCTGCCCACAGAGTGCTTCTCTGCATTTCTTCTGAAGAACCTCATTTTTAACCATGGATTTGATAAACTGGTCATTCAACACGATCGATAAGATTTTTTCAACAATGAGAACGGAGCAGGGAGGCTCCCACATGTCCAGAGGGGACACACCCGGCGGGGTATACTATGTTGGATTCCTGGAAGGAGTGGAAGATCATATGCCTCTCCCAGCTGTCCATTGAGGATGTCGAAGATGTGTGGATGTTTGGCCTGATGATCACTGGATTTCTCCTGATTGGAGTGGGAGGATATCTGGTTTTCTGGAAATTTAGGAAGACGGGAGTGATTGGAGGGCGACCCGCACCCACGGCAAGCACCGTCCGTGTGGAGACTTCTCAGACTGGGACGTTACTCGAGGTGAATCGTAAGCTGGACAATGTTCCAGCTGCGATACCGGTATTAGTGCGCAAAATGGATGTCATCTCGGAGAGAGTCACCAGACGATATGGACAAGTTTAAAAACCCAAAATAGGCTTCACTGAAGGACTGGAATGATCAGTTTAAAGACTGAAGGCAGAGAGGAAAATGATCTCAGCCTGACCCAAACAAATTCTTGTTATCTGAATCTGACGCCCTGGTAGCCTTGAGCGGCAAGCAACTAAAACCCCCACAAAGGAATGCAGACCGATGCTGTGAACCCCCCCCCCCCCCCCCCCCCCCCGCCTTCAGATTGGTGGACTTCAGCCTGGCGAGGTCATCAACCTGCAGGAGTCAATGTGCTCTGCGCTTCTCCCAAGATCTCCCTCCCACCTGTGACTGTACAGTAGATGAGCGCCGTAGATGGCTGCTCTCGCTGGGGGAAACAGGATCCCCCCCCCCCCGCCTTCCTATTGGAGTCTCATGTTGTGTTGTGTTGTCTGAAGTCTGTTGCATATCTGTTGAGGTGTTTGTTTTGCAGAGCAAAGCTGCCCTCCTGGTTGGAGGGTAACTCTGAAGTGTCTTTTTTTCCCTCCACCTGAACCAATCCTCATGTAAACCCTCTTATCTCTATTAAGGTAGCACGACTCAGGGTAGCGAATGACCACAGTCACCAATTCTTGTCATGTGTCTTGCCCATGTATGTCTGATCTCTGAATTGTGTGTACTGAAACTCTAATTTCCCTCTGGGATTAATAAAGTATTGATTGATGGATATTTCAAAACTCACCTGCAGATGTCCACTCCACTCCTCGGACCCAGTCTTCATGTCCTTGCAGCGTCATTACCTTCTGGAGCTGCAGTGGAAAAACACGAAGGAGGAATCAGTGTCTCCTTTCCAACTACGTTAAATATTTAATTTAGTTCATTATTTTCTGAAAGAGTCATGATTGGAGCTTACCTGTCCGTTCGCCTGCGCGTACAGATGCACTTTACAGTCGTCTCCACCGCAGGCTAGTACAGGAACTACACAGAGAAACACACACAGGAACATGTGTGTGTGTGTGTGTGTGTGTGTGTGTGTGTGTGTGTGTGTGTGTGTGTGTGTGTGTGTGTGTGTGTGTGTGTGTGTGTGTGTGCAACTTAACTGTAGCTAATGCACTGAACTTACCTTTGGTGCCTGGCAGCAGAGCTAGAGACACGGCCATCATGAAACCAGCGAATGACACAATATGGAGACACTCAGCTGACGAGCAAAAAACAGAAAAATCTGAGTTCTGCAGCAATATTTTTCACAATAACATTAATTAGATGAAATTATAGTTTTGCATCTTTTTGCCACAACACACCCGTTAGACACTTAAAGTCACTGCCTCCTGCAGACGACAGCATAAATAACAGGTTGTGTTTTTATTTAGGATGTAAAATAAAGTTAAAACCTGTGTGCATTAACACACTTGTTGAGGGGCGACGGTGGCACAGGAGTTAAGTGCTCGCCCCGTAATCGGAAGGTTGCAGGTTCGAGTCCCGCTCAGTCTGTCGCTGTCGTTGTGTCCTTGGGCAAGACACTTAACCCACATTGCCTGCTGGTGGTGGTCGGAGGGACCGGTGGCGCCAGTGCTCGGCAGCCTCACCTCTGTCAGTGCGCCCCAGGGCAGCTGTGGCTACATCGTAGCTCATCCCCACCAGTGTGTGAATGTGTGTGTGAATGGGTGAATGACTCTGTTGTAAAGCGCCTTGGGGGGTTCCAGGACTCTAGAAGGCGCTATATCAAATACAGGCCATTTACCATTTTAACGAGTGACTCAAAAAATGTCTGCATCAGAAAAATGTCGCAGGAGACGGACTGAATGTCACGGACTCTCAGCTGTCGCGTTTCAATTAATAATATTAATAAATTCAGTCTTTTTGCTGTTTAACGTGTGCATCATGTAAGGTTTAAAAGCCCTCTTAAATATTTCAATTAAAAAATCCTAAATTACAATTTTAAAACCACAATTTATGCAATTAAAAATGTATTTTACTGAAAAATTCTTCTGCAAAGAGATGAAACACTCATTAAATGAAAACACAGATTCATTCATACTTTCTGGGTCAAAGCATGAATAATTCAGTCAACTGAAACATTTGCAGACTTCTCTGCCTCAGACATTTCTGTTCATTGTTGTAACCAGTAGCTATCTCAGAATGATCGAATGAAGAAATCTTAAAACATTTCTGCACAGATTAGGAATCAAAAAGCATGAAAAGTAAAGAGTAAAAACAAACATAAAACACAAAAAATCTGTATCTAAACGTCTGAAACCTGATCAGTCACCATGATTCTGAAGTAGAAATAATGATCTCCAACGAGCTAATTCTTAAACATAACGGTTTGTTTCGTTTTGGTTCCTCACCGTCTTTGTCGTCGCTACAGAGCCACAACCTAACTGTGGAGTCTGAAGCAGAGGAGGCCACCAGGACCTTGGAGTCTTCCGTGTAAACGGCATCGACGGCACACACCGCAGCAGTGTGGCCCTTACACTCCACCGACTGGATGAACTGGAGACAACACCACACTTTTTTCATTTCACTCCATTAACATAAAAGCAAATTAATCCAAATACTTCATCAGTACAAGTTAGTTAGCTAACACGATAAAGAAGTTTTTTCTGTCAAAAAGACTTGGATGCCTTTTAATGCACTAAATACATCTAATTCATCATTATCATTATTATAATTATTATTGTCACATTTTAGTCAGAAACTGGTACCTTTCCATGCTGAGCTTCCCAGAGGATGAGTCGACTGTCTGAACCTCCTGAGACAAGGTGACACTCTGGTGCTGTGGCAACAAAAACAGCTCTGCCAGTATTAAAACAACATATTAGCTTCATTTAATCACCACTCATGAGTAAATGGTCCACCTCTCCTCTCCAGGAGTCATGACCCTGTTCCCCATCAGCCCTGATGGTTGAATGCAGCCAGACTCTTAAAACAGGGTCAACTGCAGAAGCTGATTAACAAACTACAGATAGTTTAAATAAGCCAGTAAAATGGGAGACCTTTCCCTTGTTTGGACATCTTAGATTTACTAGATGGAACGTTTTAGGAACAAGAGCCCCATAATTCCTGTTGTTATAGCTGAAACTAGCTAAACTAGCACCACATTTTGCTAAATACATAAACATTTTGCCACTCCGGACTCACCGTTCTCTGTTCTGTGAACCCACCGGACCGCATTTACTCTCCCCGTGTGTCCGTTCAGCAACCCAACGACTCTTCCCTCCTGTATTCAAAGAAAACAACGTTCACTCGCTTTGTTTTGAACATTTTAAAGCAATAATTAGCATCGATGCGAGCCAAAATTAAGTAAATAATTATCATATTTACTCACCTGTGGGTCGTAAAGACACACTGAATTACACGACCCGAAGGCTATAAGACCACCGCGACCCCAAGAAACCACATTTGGTGCCCTGTTTGCGCTACAAGCTACATGGCATGTTTCTATCACGGACGCTGCCATCTTGGAAGCTAAAGTTGTGGTGTAACTGTAAAAAGAGTCCGTAGGTAAACAGCACCTAGCCGAGATTATTAAATAATCTGTGTTTAATTTTGTTTATTCGTTTCATAATTTAACATTTGAATGCAGTTGATTCAATACATCTATTCTGATGTATTTTATTTTTAAAAATCAGTGTTCACTGTGTAAAAACATTGGTTATGACGTTTAAAGTAAGCTACACTTCTAAATAATGTCCAGTAGATGGCGGAAAAGAATCAAAAAATCAGAAGAAGCTTATTCTGAGTGAGTAGGACCAGAGATTTATTTTTTTCTATTGGACCAAAAATCCCGAACAGTGATGAATTTGGTGTTATTTCAATGGAAACAATTGAAATGAAACGGAAATCTGATGAGTATTTAAAACGTACTGAAAGAACTAAAGATTAATCTGTGTATTAAACCTATTTTGTGCATAATTTCCTCAAAATTATTACTTTAAAATAATATTACAATAAAAGACTTCGATATGTGGAGATAAATGACAAATTAGATTTTGCATGATGATAAAAATAGTTGATCTTATTCAAGCTCAGATAACACACGCAAACACACGCACACATGCACACACACACATATAAAAACATGCACATGTCATTCTGTGTAATTCCCATGCCAAGATCAGATTAAGGCTGACATGGTCGCATCTGAGTTAGCTGCCAAACAAACAGGATTGCAGCCATACTTAAAAAAAGATGAATAAATCACCAATAAAGAAACACAAATGTAGAAGTTGTACTAAAAAGTTGCAAGCAAGTATTTGACAAGAGATATAAAAAAAGTGTGTGTGTGTGTGTGCGTGCGTGCGTGCGTGCGTGCGTGCGTGTGTGTGTGTGTGTGTGTGTGTGTGTGTGTGTGTGTGTGTGTGTGTGTGTGTGTGTGTGTGTGTGTGTGTGTGTGTGTGCTGTGACAAAGACAAAACTGACACTGTCATCAGCTCCTGGGTAGAAAATAGATTTTGTTCGCCATGCCGCTGACCTCTTCCCTCGCCGTCTTTGAAACAAGCCGCAGACAGACTCTACAGAGCGAGACGTTCTCATCCTGGACGATCCATTATCATCTCTAAGGTTCTGGAGCTGGGACACAACCAAACAGATGGCCCTGTGAAGTATCTCTATCGTCCAGGCAGCACTTTAGACATGTACTCATCATCCATCAGAGGTGAAATCTCTGCTGCTGATGTAGAATTAATCTATTCAAGCGTGTCCATTTATTGGTTTAGTTACTGAAAAATCACATTTATTCGAGAAAATACTATAGATAAACTTTTCATAACAATAATAGTTATTTATTTCTTCTTCAAAAACACTTAGTAATTAATTTGAAGACACTTGTTACATTAAAGCCAAAACACGAGCATCCAGCATAGCTACTAATCCATGTCTGTTTTTGTATTGACTTCTTTTGGGTGGAAAAATCAATTTGTTCTTTTTTTCCCCTCAAGGTAACACACAACTTAATTGAATTCATTTATTTAAGATTCTCGTGGCTTTTTTCGCATAAAAAAGTTTGATTAGTGTTGTTTTATGTGTGTTGCACCATATCTCAGATTCATATTTTTAACCCTGTATCTTAGATTAAAGCCATTTATTGCTTTTAATAAACAAAAAGCACATAATTTCCATCAGTCATGAAAGTGCACAGAAATGGTGAGGATTATAATCTCTGCGTCTCAGATTTAATATTTTAAATTATGTACTTGAATGTAACTCTGAATTGTTTCATGTGTTATCACTGAGTACTTAAAGAGCAAGTCACCCCCAAATCAGCTTTTTTTTAGATGATACACTAAATAAATGAGTGTCAAATCGTGCAAAGTCAATAATTTGACAATTTAGTGCATCTTAGTTCAAATTTACCTAAACTGTCAGTGTTGCATCCTCATCAGGTAAAAACTCTGCACTGCATTTGAATTTAAATCTGCCATCGCTATTGGCTAAGAGGTACCTATGATGTTAGCTGGTACCATATGATGTCACAATGTCGCTCTGAAGCATTGTGTGCGTATTTGAAAGCGGCTCCGCCCTCTCGGTCTGCCAGGCAACAGCATTTTTCAAACATGAAGTGGGAGTGGAGTTAGACTCTGGTAGGGGGTGACTTGCTCTTTAATAAGTTAAACGAAGAGCAAAAGGGTTGTTTACAGTGGTGTTTCTAAGGGGCAGCCAAGGGGGGACCATGGCCAGCCTTAGAAAAATGCTGCCCATCCCACTGCCCACTGCAGGGAAGATTCTTCTCTTTTAATAAATCATATTCATTTTTGAACTGTAGCTACCAAACGGCCAATTATTTAATCAAAATCAAGTTTTCAATCAAAAACTTTTAACTTGCAGAACAAACACTTTCATACAGGTCAGTCTGACGCCAGGGTGCCGATATGAAGAGATGAACTTGAGCTAATATTCTTAACACATCCTGCGTGCGTCATGAGCCTCAAAGCTGCAAAGATGCTGGACTCCTCATCTTTTCCTCTCTGAATAAAGTCTGTCTTCTCTGACATAAATGACTTTACAACTTTATATAATCAAATTCAGTTGAATGAACAACTTGTTTAAATCCAAAGTGTTTGAATAATGCGTCACTGTCATGGCTCGAGGTAAGTGTCCAACCCAAGACATGCAGAATCAGCACACGTAGTCCAAAGCAGTAAAGTAAAATGTCTTTATTATAAAAACGGGAACTGAAACCGCACAGGGAAGTCCTGTGGGATGAGCAATACGGCTCGAGTCTCTGAGGTGCTCAGGTTAATCAGTAGAGGAGGGGAAGCCGGGGAGGACGCTGGGCAGAGGATGAGAGATCCAGGAGGGGTGAGGTAGCAGAGGGAAAGCCAAACAGGAACGGCGGAGGAGGATGGGACGTGATGAGTATGTTCCAGAAAACGAAGACAGCGAGGGTGAGTAGATGATGAGATGATCCTGAGCGAGACAAAAACAGGCGTAAGGGATAATCCAATTCCAAATCCAAAATACAATCCAAGGTCATAAATCCACTAGTCGAAGGCGAGTCAAAACACGAATTAACAAGATCAAAGTTCAGAGTCGAGTGGCTGGTGCTACCTAAACTGGTGCAATCATCCGGCAAAGTGATGTGTCTCCATCCTCCTTTTGAACCCGCGTCCCTGATTGGGAAATCTCTGCAGCTGCCGCTCCCCCTGCTCCTCACCTGTGGAGAATTAGCTCAGAGTCTGGTGAGAGGAGAAGGTGTGACTCACCTCTGCCCAGGAACATGACAGTGCCCCCCCCCCCCCTCAACGGACGCCCCCCGGCGTCCTAGCACCGGATCTGGAGGCCTCGAAGTCCGAGATGAGAGAGGGGTCCTCGATGTTGGACCGGGGAATCCAGGAGCGTTCCTCCGGGCCGTACCCCTCCCAGTCCACCAAATATTGAAGACCCCGACCACGGGGGCGAGAGTCGAGGATGCGCCGCACCTTATATACCAGCCCCCCTTTGTAGAGCTGAGCAGGAGGAGGCGGAGCCGGAACCGGGCACAGAGGGCTGGAAACGACGGGTTTGATCAGGGAGACATGGAACACAGGATGGATCCGAAGAGACGACAGGAGTTCCAACCGCACGGTCGTCGGACTAGGGACCGCCGCGACCTTGAAGGGACCAAGGAACCTAGGAGAGAACTTCCTGGTGGTCGCCTTCAGCGGGACATCCTTGGACGACAACCAGACCATTTGACCGGGAGAGTAGGTGGGAGCAGGACGACGGTGTCGGTCAGCCAGTCGCTGATTCCTTTCCGCGGTCCGCTGAAGAGCCGACCTCGTGGTGATCCAAGTGCGGCGGGCCCGACGAAGGAACTGAGGAGTGGTGATGGTGGCATCTGTATGAAGGGGGAACAGAGAGGGCTGATATCCGAGGGAGGACTCGAAGGGAGACTGACCTGTGGCGGAGGAGACATGGCTATTATGGGCATATTCGACCCAAGCCAAATGCTCACTCCAGGTGGATGGGTTGGTGGCGCAGACGCAGCGAAGCATGGCACCCAACTCTTGGTTCATCCGCTCGCATTGTCCGTTGGTCTGCGGATGAAACCCCGAGGTCAGAGCCACCTGGGCTCCCAAGGCGGTGGCAAACTCCCTCCAGACACGAGACACGAACTGGGGGCCTCGGTCAGAGAGGATCTCTGTTGGGATCCCATGCAGACGAAAGACATGTTTAATTAAAAGCTGGGCCGTGACGGCAGATGTAGGGAGAGCCTTTAACGGCACCAGATGACAGGCTTTGGAGAACCTGTCCACAACAGTTAAAATGACACTAAAACCATGCGAAGGTGGCAACCCACAAACAAAGTCCAAGGCAATATGGGACCAAGGACGGGACGGCACTGGTAGGGAACAGTGTAGGCCTGCTGGAGACTGATTGGTACCTTTTTGTTGGGCACAGACGTGGCAGGCCGACACATACTCCTTCACGTCTCTGTAGAGGGAGGGCCACCAGAAAGATCGCCTGACCAGAGCCACAGTACGTCCTACTCCAGGGTGGATTGAGAACCTCCCGGTGTGAGCCCAGTGAATAACCTTTCCTCGTAGTGCCTGGGGAACAAACAGTCTGTTGGAGGGTCCGTTACCTGGGCCAGGATCCACCTTAAGGCCCTCCAGGACCTGGTCTCTTATGGGCCATGTTACTCCAGCAACGATGCAGGAGGCAGGCAAGATGGTGCTAGGAGCCGTCTCATCTTCAGAGGAGTGCTGGCGAGACAGAGCGTCAGGCTTTGTGTTCTTTGATCCTGGTCTATAGGACAAAACAAAGTTAAAGCGGGAGAAGAACAAAGACCACCTATACTGTCGAGGGTTCAGTCTCTTTGCCTCCTTGAGATAGATCAGGTTTTTATGATCAGTCCAAATGATAAATGGTAGTTCAGCCCCCTCCAGCCAATGTCTCCACTCCTCCAAAGCCAGTTTTACTGCCAGTAACTCCCTGTCCCCCACGTCATACCTGCTCTCGGTGGGTGTCAAGCGCCGTGAGAAGAAGGCACACGGATGAAGTTTGT